TGTCTATGTGACCCTTGTCAGCTAACCAATCCTCGACAATAGGAGTCTTCCAGTACCTAAAGGGTGCCTACAGGAAAGATGGGGAAGGATTCTTGATCAGGGAATGCTGTGATAGGATGAGGGGTAACGGTTTTAAACTGAAAGAGGGTAGATTTAGATTAACTATTAAGAAGAAATCCTTTACTGGGAGGGTGGTAAGACACTGGAACAGGTTGCCCAGGGAAGCTGTGGATGCCCCCTCCCTGGAAGTGTTGAAGGCCAGGCTGGATGAGGCTTTGAGCAACCTGGTCTAGTGGAAGGTGTCCCTGCTGATGGCAGGGGGGTTGGAACTAGATGATCTTTAAGGTCCCTTCCAACCCAAACCATTCTAGGTTTCTATGATTCAATGTACATTACAACTCAGAAACTTTTAAGTGTTGGCTTTGGAGAAGTAGAGTGAGAAACATGGCTTAGAAGAGAAATTAGGTTGTTGGGGGTTTTTTATTTTTGCAAAATACAACTACGATCTGTTTCTGCATACTGCTACTGTTATGGTAGAGTCGTAAAGAATGTTTACTGCAGGATGCACAGATAAGTAGAATGAGGAAGTTAGTTGGAAACTAACTAATGCTTTTTGTTTCCATACAGATAGATAAACCTAACTCAGGTTTCAGTCTGGCTAGGAGGACAATTAGGACTAGGGTTTGGAGAACAAAGACTTCCTCCAAATGAAGTTAGGTAGGTCAGTTTATTACTGATCAAATTGGGCTTTGAAAGATGAAATGCAGTGGGACAAAGATGTAGAAGTACTTTGGGAGACGCATGTCTCCCACTGACCTGGATAATATCGAAGTTAAGATTTGGGATAGATTGCAGAGAATGAAAGGCTGAAGTGCATTTGTTATAGGATAATGAGCCATACAGAGGAAACGTGAAAGAACTGGAAGGGAAGAGCATGCAGCCCTCCTAAAACTTTGATACAGAATTGATTCACCTGAGTGCTCCTCTTGCCACAGCTGGAATGAGGACCAGGATTTGAAAAATGAAAGGTAGAAAAGGTTATCCCACTGCCTGTAGAACTGCTTTTTCATACATGGGTTGTGGTTGTATTAAGTATTAAGAAAATAATTCATTACAGAAACAACAGAGGGTCATAAAACCAAACTTTTATATTTCACCTTGTCAGTGTCACACGGGTGGAACAAAAAATATGCAATGTGTTGTTCTTTGTTAAAATTTTGTTTGGCTAGGAGTGAGGCATTGGAAAAGACGTCCTAAAACTAGGACTAAAAACTAAAGCCCTAAAAAAGAAAAGGCCCACGTTACTACGTGGAGATATCTGTGGTCTCCCAGAGAGAAGGGAAAGGCACCCTGGGAAACATGTAACACATCACTTTCCAGCTGGGGAGACGTTTGGATAAGGCTGTTGTTTGCAAAATGTTCACAGACATCACTTCAGTACACCCTCAGCAGGGTCCTGGGCAGGTTGAGTGAGGGCATATTTGGACAAAGCCAGCAGCACCCTTGCACACTCACCACACCTATCGTACCTGCCCTGCATTTTGGCTGGCTAGGCTCAGCCTGCAGCTCATGTTGCTGGGATAGAAGATGGAGACGAGAAAATCTGCAACTGCTCTCATTTCCAGAGCTCTGCAACAGAGCCTCTCAAATGCTGGGCAGTTTCTATCACTCACAAAAAATTTTAGATGTATATAGAATATATGAAGGGTCAAATTAAATGGTTAACTGGTTTTGGTAAAATTGAAGGCAGAAGCAGAGGGTCGAGCTCTTACACTGACTCTTAAAGGAAAAGATCTCCTGACACTATACTCAGAAGAATGTAACTTAAATCACATTCAAGCCTCTGAACACAAGCTGCAAAGTCCTCCTCTCTTTTACTCTACCAGGAACCCTGTATTGTTCCATAAGTGCCATTAGACTTTCCTCTGTCTTTCTTTTAACTAAGAATTTCTCTGATCTTTTTACTGCTTTGCAAAGTCATCCTCATTCCAAATTTTTCTAATTTTGTTTTTCAAGTGAGCAGAGGCAGAAGACAGACTTTTGAATGTAGTCTACATCATGTTTTGTTAATGTTTCTTTTTAAATAAGGATAATAAAGAATGAATACACAGAAAGCTATGGTCCATCAACTCAGCTACAGTCCTTTTGAACAACGCAAACAATAGAGTCCACAATAGCTTAAGACTTCCACTACTTATATCAGTTTTGGCACAGTTCCAGGGATTCAGCTGAGCTGCTTTTCACCTATGCTAGGGGAAAATGAGAGGAGAATTCGACCCGAAGTGCAAAGGAAAGGGAAACAATTGAGATGATTTTCCATTACCTCCCACTGCATATTTGTTATTTACACTAAGGTGCACTCTATGATGAGTTTGGCTTCATCAATACCAATGTAAATCCAATATACAGAATTGGATTTACATTGGATTTACTGGATACAATTGGATTTACTCTCTATACAGAATTCCATAGAGTTATTTTGGCTTTTGACTTGTGGGAGTGAGGCAAATGGGCCAGGACATACCGAACAATACCAAGCGGTGGTACTGAATACTCACTTGACACAGACGTAACGGCACTAGAGAGTGAGATCCAACAAGCCGGCAGGACCAGACTAATGTTGCTGCATCCCTTATCTATTTCTAAAAATTTTCCCAGTGTGGCTCAAAAGCTCAAGCAAACAAATGCATGAAGTTATGCACAACTATGGTCAACACAAGGAAAAGACTGAGAACTTATAAGAGTTTATATAGCATGGAGGTCTAATTTATTTGCAGAGAGCCTGAAAACTCAGTCAATACTTCAAACAACAGACAAGATGAAACCATCTGTTCCAAAATGACTCAACAATACATATATATACTATAATAATGAGACTAAAAAAAGCTCTAAATCCTAAAATTTATGT